GCATGTGACAAGTTTTATATTAAGGCCTTTAAAAACTGGTAAGACATAGTTTATAGTTTCGTTTCGCATATTAGTTTAAGCGGCTCGCCCCATAAGATGCTCTGACAGAAAGGCTGCGTGTGCCGCTGACAGAGACGCTAGGCTGTTTAATGTGTTTGAGATGTGCTGTCTTCCTGAATGCATAACTTACATTTCACAGGTATATTCTCCATCTGTAAATGTTAGAAAGCCATGGAAATATTTCCATTTTTCTGTCAGAAGTGCATGAGCCTTCTGCTTTGGGATTCTCCGCTAGACTTCAGTGAACGAGTGCCGCCGCACGCATGCACGCCAAACAGACAGAGCTCAATTAAATAGGAGTGCAATAATTCTGACAAAAATATACATTTCGCTGAAATATTTGTAGTTGGACAATAAATGTGACAATTAGAATTTTATACCTACAAGTAAGATTATTTTTATGAGAGCACTGTCTGTAAAGTGACTGTATTGGGGTAATCAAAATAGCCTAACACAACTCTGTGCTTTTGTTATCATTTATTTTCATTTTTAGTTTAGTGAATTTAACTTCCGCTTTAAAAGCCTTATTTTTGTTTTTAGATTGCAATGTTACAATGTTAGAATGAAATGTGATTTTTTTTTGCACATAATATAAAGGCTTATATGGTTACATTCACTTTATTTGTTTTCAGTCTTTAATATGTATTGTTTTGTTGGAAAATATTGGGCGGTAAGTGAAATATATATATATATATATTAAATACAGATTTTATAAATCCAAATACAAAAACACCGAGATATATATATGTATATCGCAAATCGGCCAAAAAATACAGATATTAATTTTTGCCCATATCGCCCAGCCCTACCAATAGCTGCTTGCATAAAATTCAAGGCATTGATGTTTGCCTACAAAACAACCACAGCTCTGCACTGCTTTACCTGAATTCACTACTTCAGACTTGTGTGCCATCTAGAAGCTTGCATTCTACAAGTGAATGGTGCATTATAGAGGCACAAAATCACTTTCATAGACTTTTACCTTAACTGTTCCCTGCTGATGGAATGACCTGCCCAACTCGATCCGAGCAACTGAGACTTTAATCTTTGTAATATCCTCAGATGACAATGTAGATGCCTGACAAACGTTGTTGTTGTTGTGATCATAAACTGTATGGATGTGATTACACGCAATACACGGAGCTTTTCTCTCATTCTTGTAACACGCTACTTTTGCAAGGTTCCGTGAAAACGTTTCAGCTTTTATTTTCCTTTTTCGCCCTGAAGAAGATATCACAGGTTCATCAAGTTCGTCGCAATTATCCATCCTCGATCACTTTTAGTCAGCATAGACGAAACTCCTCTCAGCTAGTGTCTTTTCAAAGTGAAAGTAGCCTTGTCACCTGACCTGAATACAGCTCGCTGATTCACTAAAATGGACTTATCGGCTTCTGTTCAAAAACAACAAGGGAGCTTGTCGGCTTCTGCAGTAAAACGTTAAAGAGGACAAAACCGGCTTTTTTGACAAAATGTGTTTAGGGTTCAAATCGTGTTATATGTGGAGAATAATGTACGAATAATGCAATTTTTTTTAAAGTGGCATTTATCGGTTTTTGCAAATTAACTTATATATATATATATTTATTTTAAAAAATGACCCTCTAACAGAAGCGTTCTCTATTCTATCTACTTGTTTTCTTTTTATTTATTATTTACCAAAAAAAAGACTAACCGGGACTTGTCACAGCACTTACATATTAATGCTCTTTTGTTGGTTTGTTTGCTTCTATTGTCCTCATTTGTAAGTTGCTTTGGATAGAAGCGTCTGCGAAATTACTAAATGTAAATGTAGACGTTCAAATCACAAAAAGTAGGTTCAATTACTTAAACTGACTGTTAAGTCCTTGTTAAGGATGTACCGTAGGTGCAAATATCTAAGCTAAATTCATCTGGTTTATTATTGTAGCTCATTCAAGATCACTGACTGTCTAAAATGAAATGATTCAAGGGGATATCAAATCCTGAGCTGCCAACAAACACTGTCCTTTTCATGACAGCTGGATGTCAAACCACTGTGTAATAGCAGGTATGAAATGAGTAACTGTTCAACAAGGACTCTTACCATAAATAGACCTCTCATTTGTAATGAGAACGGAGAGCCCGTCTCGTAGATAGAGTGCATCGCATGCAGGCATCTACCTCGCAGCTGACGAGAGGCTTCTGATACTCCGATAGACAGGTTGGGCGTAAACACACATATTAATACATTAACAGAAGGGCGTGCGGGAACGCTCAGCGCCTGGTAATCTGGAGCGACTGGAGCGGGACTGATAAGATTCTCTCCCGCTTCCCGCAGCACAGGCACCTCTGTTGGCTGCCGGCCAATCAGAGCTCATTCCGAGGGCCTACATCAGGAGAAAAGAAAGCTGCAGGCATGGTGTGTCTCCACCCCCCGTCCAAAAATACACAAAATCAGAGTTTGCATTCGATATTTCAGACAGCCGCTGTCAACATGATTCACTCCCCTGTCAGCCGGCGCAGAAATAAAATAATGAAATCCACCTCGAGGTAGAACAAAATTGTGCCGAGGAGAATATTTTACGGGGCCTCTCGGCCGGATGGTCTGCGTGTGAAGGTTGAGATGTAAATTGATAGGAGGACAGTTCACATGACCGCACGCTTCGATTTAAATAACAGCGAAAGTGACTCACCAAGCCACTGATGATTTGATTATTTATATATCGTGAGACTTCATTTGCTGCGAGCATGTGGTTTATTACTTCCAATTATTAGTGCGTCTACAAAACTAATTGGTCATAAACAATATGCGAGCAGTGGGTTTGTGATTAAGTGGCATTTTTGTGAGGGTCTAAACCCCACCTAAGCTCATCCCACCGGGATGCACGGATCCAGAACTAGTCAAACAAACTATTACAAAAGGACTTGTGCTCCTCTGATCCATCCGCGGCGTTCGGATAAACGACCATGCAAACTTCAATAAGATTAATGATATTGATGAATGCATTCAACTTCTTCTGCGTCTCGATGTGAATTCCTTGTGAAGAACAAAGATTGCGAGCTTCTCTGTAATAGAATCTACCGCTCAGAGACGTGGTGTAGAATGCCAAAGACAGGCTTGAGAAAATTCTAATTTCATTCTGTACACGAGCTTCAAATTCTTCCTACACACAGAATGTAACTTGTAATTTTTCCCCCCTCCGACGGAGATATTTCCTCTTGATAATCGCAATCCTGGCAGATGAGATGGAGATGATGCGAGCAATTATTCTACACAGACCCTCATAACTCAGTTTGTCTTTTTGCACCCTTCTTAACCTTTAAGAACAGCTCAGTGGGCCAGCATCTGTCTGATACCTTTAGAGACCATCCTGTCTCCGCAGGGGGCTTTCATAGAGTTTGTCTTGCACTACAATCTCTTTTTAATGGAGTTTTGAATTTTAGTGGAAATGCCAGGCTGTGGAGCCAAAGTGCATTTAATTGAGTTGAGCTCGCCTAATTTCTGAGCTCGCCTGCCAAATCTGCAATTTAGCAGCCTGCGATTGCTCTTCGGATTTCACAGTGTTGGGTGAAACTGATGGTTCGCCATGTCTTTTGACCAGAGCAAGATCACCAAAGCTGGCAGAACCACAAGGAAAAAAAGGAAGCATCCAAACTGTGCGAAGTTTGTGATGTGCCAGCCGGATGACAGGTTGGCATGAGAAGAAACCCACGCCGTTCCCAGTGGTCGTGTAATTGGTGCCAGCTCTTTCAATTTCAAACGAAAATTAAAAGCATTTCAACCCAAACCAAGGACGGGTTTGGTCCCCGAGCTCAAAAACTGGCATCTAAAATAGTAAATATTAAACGTAACCGTGTGAATGCTCTTTGTTCATTTGTCTGTTACATTTCAAACAATCACTGCTGCAAATAAAGTCCATTTCATCTTCAATGAAAAGATTCAATATTAGTGTCGTCCAATGTGGCACATAATGCCAAAGAAAGTGAATGTTCACTCCTTCAAATGTAATTCAAAAATCGTCTCAATGACGTCCTGTGGTTATATTGCCCCTACAGCAGTCACGACGAAACTGAACACAGATCCCATGCTTAGACAACACTGCCCCCTCTCAGTCTAATTTACAAAGCAGTCCTTCACCTTCTTCAGACTGGTATGAGTCAACACATTGTGAATTACCCTGCCATACAAATTACACTACCATTCAAAAGTATCTGTAAGATTTTTTTAAAGGAATTAATACTTTTATCCAGTGAGGACGCATTAAATTGATCAAAAGTGACAGCAAAGACATTTATAATGTTACAAAAGACTTCGATTTCAAATAAATGCTATTCATAATTTTTTCCACAAAAATATTAAGCAGCACAAATGGTTTCAACACTAAAAATAATAAAAGATGTTTCTCGAGCAATCAGCTTATTAGAATGATTTCTGAAAGATTATGTGATTGGAGTAATGGCTGCTGAAAATTCAGCTTTGCAATCAAATGAATACATTTAAAAATATTAAAATAGAAAACAGCTATTTTAAATTCTAATAATGTCTCACAATATTATTGTTTTACTGTATTTTTAATCAAATAAATGTAGCCATGGTGAGCACAAGAGGACTTTTGAACAGTAGTGTATTAATCAAATAATTTGAAACTCACAACCATAAATGTGTATGATCCCTGAAAATTTCCCACATTTATAAATTGTTTGCCATTAAAATGTAATCAGTGTTAATTTGGCACGATTGATGACAGCATTTAATTTACATGAAAGCAAAGCCTAAAACTTAAACTCGACCAGAACGTTCTTACCGGGAAGCTTGTACTTGTTGTAAAAGGATACTTTCTCTTTCTTGTATGATGAGTTGGTTTTGTTGCTCTAGCTGTTGGATTTTTTTCTCAAACGTCTCCTGTTCATCCCTGAGTTTCTGGACAGACTCATCTTTTTCTTCACTAACTCTGAAAAGAAACACAAACAAAACAGATCAGATACACAGCTGTATCACCATGCACAGAAAATCACATTGGCTTGAGGGCTACTGTAATCATTCATTCAGTCTAAAAAGTATCAGATCACTATAATGAGAAGGCTTTACCTGGCCAGCTCCTGGATGAGATTGGCAATCCGACGCTTGTCCTCTGGGCAGAGATCCTTCAGTGATGGCTTACTTTTGGCTTGAGCAGCGCTGAAGAGAGGCTACAGTCCAGAACAGACACTTTTACATTTTATTTCCATACATCTATAAAACACAAATTTCTGAAGATTTTATGTACAAATCAAATGAATAATACTGGTTAGATTCTTAGTACCTCCTAAAAATAACCATGTGAATTAACGACTGCCAAAGAGAATTAGATTTGCACTTCCTGAAGGAAATATCATTTCATGCAAGGTGATGTTCGATAAAGACAAAATTGCATATGCAAATATTAACATACCGGAGTATATGCAAAACAACACATTTTCTAAATCTACTAGTTGACCTGTTGATCTGTCTTATTGAAGCAATTAATTATTAAGCTGGTTTCAGGGGTACCCAAAATTTTATGCACAAAATGTCTAAAATCTAAAGCAAGTCAATAATTCAGACACACTTGCCTGTTTCTAGTGATTTCAAAAAACTTTTGATCTAAAGGCCGGACAGATAAAAAAAATGTAGACAAATATAATACAAAATGAAATTTTAATTAGCTGTTTTTAAGTTGTTGCTGGAGTGGACATTGAAGAAAAATCAGTCAAAAAGTGTCCCACATACATTCAATTATAGGTCAAATAATAGATATATCTGAATTTATTAAATATATTTTGGTCACTACTCCCTAAATAATTTTCATACCATCATTTGGCATCATAGTTTCATAGTTTTTAAAAGTGTATTATTTAACATGTGGAAAATAGCAATAGTACAGAATCAACTTTTGATTGCAATGTATGTTAAATTATTTGATTTGAATTACAGACACAAGGATGCAAAAAAATATTTATTTTTTTTAAATGTCAGTTTTAAAATGTGGATTTTCATTTGATTTTAGCATAAGTATATACAGTCTCTACTTCAGCTGTGTCATGCCACACTGGCATTGTTGTTTTTATTTCAAAACAACGATAATTGGCAAATGGTGAGAAGTTTGCATCCCTGCAGACAACTGAGGCACTTCACCTCCCATATGCTGTAAATATTAATTTTTCAATGCCTACCTGAGCTAAAGTGAGAGAAGGCAGGTCCGGTTCTGGTGCAGGTGTAGTGGTTTTGGATTTGGCTACAACAGAAGGCAGCTTCTGATCTGAAGCTTTACCCACCATCATCTCAGCACTTTGCACTGCTGAATGCAATCCTGTTATTTTCCTACTTTTATCCATGCCGCTAGCTCTTCTTTTTATCTTTCCCTCTGTATTATTTGCAGACTCAACCTTCAGACCGGCATTCTTGCTCATCCCTAAGAGAGGATGGGAGTGACAGTTTTGAAATGTCAAACATGAGTTGTCAGAATGATGAACAAGTCGTGATATTTTAGTATTTGACAGTATCAGTCTAAAACATTGAAAATGGCATAAATCCAAGTCTCACCTGTAACAAAAACCATGGGCTGCTCTTCATCTGATTCTAAGCAAGTTAAAGAAAACACAACAGACACAACATGCCTACCATCAAAAATAAGAAGTCTATCAGCTAACGGTCTAAAAATATTGAAGAGAATAAGACTGCAGCATTAATCCAGAATTACTCCAATATACGCGGTAAAATGTTACGTGGTAGTTAGGCTTATGTGGTACTACTGTAATGCATTGTTATGTATGTATATGCATTTTACTGTAGTACTGAAGCAGTATATTATTGTAGTACATTTCAGAGAAGTATACTTGTAACGTTACATTGAAAAACGCTTACAATTCACTGCACTACGTTTCTTTCTAATAAAATTAATTAAATTCAGTACAGTAAATGTATTGTCACGACAACTGCAGCTTTATGTCCTAAAACTAGAGTTCGGTTAAGCTGACAATGAAAATCCGCTAATAAGCTATTAGCCTCCCTTCTCTCATAAACACAGACCACGGTACACGGTTGACCTTTAATGCTTGCTAAATGATAATAATATAACTAATTTAAACAGTCTCATTGAACAAAAACACGAAAAAAATGTAAGGATACTGTCATGAATCCAGTAAAATCCATTGCCATTTGCGCCCTCAGCAACAGACGCCATACTGAAACAACCGCCACTTCCAGATTATGCGCAGGAGCTCCTCCTCTTTTTCATCTCTGGGGAGTGTCATTGGATAACGTTCACTTGCCGCACCCGTCTATCTAGGAGACTATTGGTCAAATTACCCATCTGTCATATTCTCAGCCAATAGAAGAGGAGAACCTCAGTGTTTTGGTTCTGCGTGCTTGGTAACCTCAGCAGCATCCGTCGGTGTGACAATGCAGCACGCGAATCAATGGCATAGAAGTATTTGTGTTATTTTGGAATGGAGGAGGTAAAAGATGACAAGACATGTAAGGGGTTTGTAGACAGACTCACCCTCGGTATTATTCGGGTTTTGGGTGAGTGGACAATGCTTAATATTATTAATTAAAAACCGCATGCTAGGCTGCATGGTCTCCCGGGTTGTTTTGGTTTTAGGTGGTCAGGATGGGAGGCCAGCCAAGAGCAACAAACAAAGCACCTTTTAGGGTGGATAAATATGTTTGTCTTCTTCATTAAAGTTGCTCATGCAAACCAGGTCAATTATCAATGCCCAAACTGAGATTAATTTCTTATTTAATGGTTGATTTATTCTTTTTGCTTACGCATATATGTGCATTGCATTCATGTGTTTGACAGAGAACCTCCCAGGTGTGCTGGATGTACGATTTGTAGAGAAACCCCCTGCAGAAAAGCGATGCCTTCTCTCCTGGGAGCAGGTATGGAGGAATTTCAGTTTACCAGAGAAGATTCTCAAAGCAAAGCTTTGCTGTGGGTATGTTTACATCAGGTGTGCTTTTCCTGTGTTTGCCAGAAAAACAACTGTGCTTTGCCGGAAGATCTAAGAGATTTCTATCACACAACCGATGGCTTCATGCTTGCCTGGAACACCAAGCTGGAAAGTGAGCACCCTTAAAGGGGTCAAATGATGTTTTTTTAAAGATCATTATTTGGTGTAACAGGATATGTTGACATGCTTTAATGTTAAAAAAAACACATAATTTTTCAAATACTGTACATTATTGTAGGTCCTCTATGCCCCGCCTCTCTCAAACGCTTCGTTTTCTACAAAGTCCCTCCTTCCGACAAGCGCAGTCTGCTCTGATTGGCCAGCTGATCCAGTGTATTGTGATTGACCGAACACCGCAAGCACTCGTGTGAAATGTAACGGCCCTTACCATAATCGCGAGCTTCATCTTTCAAAATAAATGTAAAGACAGAGCCCGAAAGGGGAACAGAGTCGCGTGACAGACACAGTGATGAAGCTGAACTTACGCATTTGAACAGTCCATAGCAAATACTTAAACTAATAACAAAACAGTAGCTAAGCCTAATTTAAATTAGGTATGTTTTTTAACAAAACAGTAGCTGATTCAGAAGCATCAGATTGTCATAGCAAAGTCAGAATGACCTCCTCTCCTAGGTTCATGAAACGGTCGTCCATAAAATGCATTGCTGTTCTGTTGTAAGTAATCTTAAAGATTCCTAAATGCATCTACTTCTGGAAGGCCAAATAAAGTGCTTTTGCTTTCGCCTAGAAACACACAGCGTCTCCCTGACATGCTGCTTCAACACTAACTGCAGTTACTGAAACCACGCCTTCTTTCTTTACGTGCACATTTGGGTGGCATTATACAAATATTTCCACGTAGTGAGGTAGATATGTGGGGGCGTGTTAGAACGAGCCGTTTTAGGGGGGCGTGGCAGAGTCTTAACTTTGATAAAGAATATCTCTTTGGTTTTGAGACTTTAGTCTTTGCAACTTCAGGGATCTTATCTATGCACAATCAGCTTGTAACGCTCCAAAGAGAAAGGAAAACTTGAAATCGCATCATATGACCCCTTTAAACATGCACTGATCTCTTAAACCCGTTATAGTTTCGATCAACTGTAAACGATGCTGTTTAATAATGTATCCCTATTATTATGCTGCTGCTTCAAATCTGATCAGTGTTTTCCTTCACATAATTTTCTGATTCCATATTGTAGTTAAGCTTAAAAAAAATTTGAGTAAATGTATATGCTTTGTGTCTTACAGATGAAGTGGTTCCAGTGGGTTGCATGATGATCAGCAATGTAGCTCAGTTACGCCCCCTGATTCAGTCAAATGTATATTCCCTCCCCAATGCACCTACTTTAGCTGATCTTGACTTCGATGATGACTTAGAGGGTGATATTTTCTTACATCTTTAGGCATTTTTCTGGTATAGCGTAATGTCTTTGCATGCCTTTTGTTCAGTAAAATTTGCATGAATTATACATCTGATTTTTTTTTTTTTTTCTGTTTTTAGAATCAGATGGCCCTGAAAAACCTCATTTTGATTCTCGTAGCCGCATCTTTGAGCTGGACCCCTGCAATGGTAATGGCAAAGTTTGCCTTGTTTACAAGAATTGCACTTCAGGTGATTATGCATCCCACAATTAATCCAGAAAGATATAAAGAGATCGCATACAAAAAGGTTTCATATCATTTTAATCTACCATCTGGCCCTGTGTCTGCTGGCCCGTTCCGTGTAGGTGTAATGGCCCAGCAGTGTGAGGTGTGGTTCTTGGACCGATCACTTTTCTGGCACTATCTCACCCCCTCCTTCACTGCCTACTACCGGCTTATGATCACCCATCTGGGGCTGCCGGAGTGGCAGTATAATTTCACTCCGTATGGCCCCAGCCCACAAGCTAAGGTCAGCATTATCTATTCAGAACTATCTAAACGGAAGATTTGAGTGACTATTTTTAGTATTTTTTTATTTTATTAATATCTATACAATGTTTTAAAACCATTTATATTTTTTTACTTTTAACACATTTATATTCAGATACAATATATACTGATACAAAATTGATTTTATTTATTTTTTTATAGCCAGAACAAATTAAATTAAAGTAGATATGTATATTTTTTTCTGTTAAAAACTGTTGACTTTGGCTTCTTTTGGCTTATTTTATTAGGGATATTTTATTTATATCATATATATATATATATTTGAAGTCTCTTATGCTCACCAGTGCTGATTTCTTTTTGTAGAAAAAATAGAGTGTAAACAGTAATATAGTGAAATATTAATACAATATTTAAAATAAGTATTTTCTATTTTAATATATTTTAAAATGTAATTTATTTGTGTGATGGCAAAGCTGAATGTTTAGAATTCATTACTTCAGTCTTTAGTGTCACATGATCCTTCAGAAATCATTCTAATATGCTAACCTTTATTATTATTATTATTATTATTACTTCTACTGTTGAAAACAGCTGTACTGCTTTTTTTATTTTATTTTGTGGAAACCATGAAAAGAACAGCATTTATTTGAAATATAAATCTATTATAACCATACAAATGTCTTTAATGTCACTTTTTATTCATTTGAATGTGTCCTTGCTGAATAAAAATATTATTTCTTTTTTTTTTTTTACTCTTACTGACCCCAAACTTTTAAATGGTGTGTATGTGCACAGTTTCAGTATGTAATCTACTGCTACAAACTGATTTGAAACTCTCCTTTGATTTCCTTGATGCAGCAATGGGCCGCCCTCTACCAACCCCTGACGTTCCATGGTGACTCTCATTCTGATGCGGCTGGTGAACCTCTACTGAACAAACTGGACCCAGCCAAGGCGTTCCGTGGCAAGGCCAAGCCACCAACTCCCAAGAAGAAGCAGGCAGCACAGGTCCCAGCGAGCGGCGGGAGCACAGCAAAATCACAGGGGGTCTCAGGGAGACACAGTGTGACTAAACGATGACCCCAGTGTCCCAATAAATGCCCATGGAATGTTGTCATACAGGCATGTTGATTGTACTTTATGCTCATGCTGGGCATTTAACCTCACGCAAGCTGCTTAATTTCATCTGTTGATGCCCACGAGTCTGTATATGTACACAATATTTATTAAAGATCAAAGATGGAACAGTCCTGAGATTCTTCAATAGCTTATTCCTCTGTAACCCAGAAGTTAGTAGTACACACTAGACTGAAAAAGATACACTTGACTTGAGAAATGCAACCCATAGGCTTTTCGACTGGCATCCATGTCTCATGTTATGCCTGTAAACATTCAGGTGTCCCCAGTGGAAATGTCTGTTTTCTTCTTTGGTCCCTGTATTATCCTTGGTCCTTAAATGAAGCAGGTCTGCGAGTGAAACTCTCAGACAGATATCTCTGTACTGCTATTCTTGCACTTTTCCAGAGGAACACATTCAGGATCTTCTGCAGACTGTGTCTTAGTGCTCTTAAGATCAGGGTGGTGTAGCTCTACAAATGCTTCGTAGATTAAAGCCCCAGTCACTCCACCAATAAAGGGGGCCACCAAAGGTACCCACCACCAGCCATTGCCGGCCCTGTAAATAAGTTGAGACAACACTTGAATTATATTTAATCAAATTATGGTGTTATGTTACTAAAGTCGATAAATAATAAGTTGATTTAAATAAGTAATGTAAAATTAAAACAATAAATGATACGGTGGTATGCATTTTGGCATTATGTATTATTTTTCTTTTTAAATAATTTGAATAATGATGTAAAAGTAATAGATTATTTTTATTTAATTACTATGTTTAGTTACTTTAAATTATTTTAAAAAAATTTTTTACATGAAATTATGGTGATAGTAAATAATGCCTCAAGTTCAAGCATAGTACTTAAAATATAATTTTTTTTTCCTTTTACAGATCTGATCTGATAATTGTGATTTTTTTTTTCTATTGTCAGCTTTTGAGCAAAATCATAATGAATGGTTTCAGTTCTTAATCAATGTATGATTAAGTAATGTAAAAAAAATGTATTCCTATCATTATGCTATTTATTTTAATAAACATTTGAATAAAATAATACATTATTTTTATTTTTTATGTTTTTATTTTATTTATTACTTTGAAACATTTATAATTATTGAAGTACATAACTTTATTTTGAGTTATAGTAAATAATTTACCAAGTTCAGGTCAGACATGCTACTGAAAATAAATATTTTGTAGTTACAGATCTGATTTGATAATTGTGACTATTCCTGTTATCAATGTTTCAGCAAAACATAATGAAAGGTTTCAAGTCAGGCATATCAGGAATTCAAACCACAAGTTACAGGGATAGTGACTGAAAAGAAACAGGAGGTGTTACAAATCATTAACCCTGACTGAAATACACACATTAAAGAGTTTCATAGCTTGATTTTGTATTTATTCACCTGAAAACATCCATGCCCCAACCTGCCATCAGTGTGAAGACTCTCGGCCCCAGATCTCGTGTTGGATTGATGGCATAGCCGCTGTTGCTTCCCAGAGAGACACCAATGAGGAGCACCAGGAGCCCCACACCCACAGGCTCACCTCTAGGCACGACCGGCTGGTTTCTCTGGTCTGCCAGAGCCATCAGACACAGCAACAGCATGGCAGTGCCCAGAACCTGATTCAGAGATTTTAAAATATAAAGTTTTTAAAGAAATAGTCCACCCAAAAATGAAAATTTGATGAACATATGCTCACCCTCAGGCCATCCCAGATGAAGATGAGTTTGTTTCTTCACGGAAACAGTTTTGAAAAATTTAAACATTACATCACTTACTCACCAATGGATCCTCTGCAGTGAAGGGGTGCCGTCAGAATGAGAGTCCAAACAGCTGATAAAAACATCACAATAATCCACAAGTAATCCACACGGCCCTTGTAAGGTGAAAAACTGCATGTTTGTAAAAAAACAAATCCAAATATTAAAAAAAGTCAATCCACTGTTGACAGGTTTCTTTAGAACTGTTTTGGATTGTTTTCACTTGTAAAATGCTTGATCTGTGCATATTTCTCATATTTTGCATATTTCAAACAACATTTTTTTTTTTTTACTGGAGAAAGCAATATTAAGGATAGAGGACTTTGAGCCGGATGCGATGGTTTGAAGTTATAAATGTCTTGATGGATTTGTTTGTTACAAACATGCAGCTTTTCACTTCATAAGACGTTAATTGTGGAGTCGTGTGGGTTTCTTGTGGATTATAGTGATGTTTTATCAGCTGTTTGGACTCTCATTCTGACGGCACCCATTCACTGCAGATGATCCGCTGGTGGTGAGCAAGCAATGTAATGCTACATTTCTCCAAATCTGTTCCGATAAAGAAACATCTTGGATGGCTGAGGGTGAGTATTTTGTATTTTGTGATAAATACAAAATCAATGATTTTTAGCATATTTTCATTTTTGGGTTAACTATCCTTATCATGTTTTTGGTTCATATCATAGTTAATTATGGAGCATTTATATTCATTTTCAGAATACCTGATCAAAGAATCCAGTGTAGATTGAGATGAAAGGTGCTGGATATGTAGCGAAGATCCCAGCTGTTGCTTTGGGGCCCGACACAGTGAAATTGCCCCCACAGTAATGATGTATAGCATCTATAAAGCACAGCACAGATGTGAGCGAAGAAACCTTGTGGCAATTTATTTGACCTACTCCAACACTAAGAACAAAAATAACTCCAGAAGAAGATGAGTATTTGCTCACCATAATAAAGTAAAAAAATGGTCCCAGCAGCAAGGAAGGAACCCAGAAACTGGGCAAAAACATACAGTGGGAACATCTTCCAGCGCAAACGGCCAAACACGCACATTGTGAATGAAACAGCTGCATTCATATGAGCTCCTATGTGATAGAGTAAAACATTTTGCATGATTATTTGTCATTATGGAAAACAGTGAACTCTGACCTGGTGTTTGGGGTCAAGAGGGTCTCACCTGACACTTTTCCACCAACGTGCACACCCATAGCCACACTCAGCCCAAAGCCTACATTTATGCTGAAATACTCTCCAAAAACACCATTTCCTGTGACCACTTGTGCAACAGTGCCAAGCCCAAACACCTGGAATTCAAAAACAGAGTCTGTCTGATAATTCATAGATGCAGCAATTATAGGAAAATAAACCCTGGTGTAAAGCTTATTTCATGGCTACTTACCAAATAAATAAATACATTGACATGAAGTATTGATTTTAGTTGGGCGTGTATAGAGGCCATGATGACACAGAAACAAGGTAATTGTAGTTATCATTTTTGTTACTGGAAATAAAATTAAAATGAGTTTTAGTAATGGACATTTTTAACCCCTTCAGGGGTGGCGAAACGTATTTCTTCCCCTAATCGTGAAACTATTGGGAAACGTGTTTGGAAACAATAAACGTTTTTGAAGTTCCTTTTGCTATTAGCACAGAAATGACACACTTTACCTTTAATTTCACAACAAAAATGACTGACATTTAAAAAATAGCAAAAACTATTCAAATGTAAAAAGCACATAACACATAAACGATGAAAATAAATATTCAATGAAAAACTAAATGAAATGATTCAGCTGAATGAAAATGAGAAATGCTGCTTTGGCAACTCACTGAAATATGTTTAAATTGAAGCAAATTGAACTGGAAATAAATCAAATCTAAAACTGAAATAAAAAATGAGAAATCTTAAATAATAATTTTTAAATTAAAATTACAAGAGCATGTAACAAAACAACTAAAAATGGAACTAAAATAAAAATAAAAGCTAATTCATAATATTAATAAAAACTATAATTGTATACTGAATATACACTCTTAAAAATAAAGGTGCTTCAAAAGATGCCATAGAAGAACCATTTTTGGTTCCACAAAGAACCATTCAGTCAAAGGTTCTTTAAAGAACCATGTCTTTCTTACCTTTTTATAATCTGAAGAACCTTCTTTCGCCACAAAGAACCTTTTGTGAAACAGAAAGGTTCTTCAGATGTTAAAGGTTCTTTATGGAACCATTTAGACAAAAAGTTTCTTCTATGGCATGGTGAAGCACCTTTATTTTTAAGAGTGTAGAACATTATTAGGTTTGCATAGGTTTTCTCAATTACCGATCAGTTACATAGCATTGCTATTGGTCAAGTGTTTTGCATTGATTTCACCTGGCAATAATGGAAAAAGTACCTCAAGCCAATCTTTCTAAGAATAGAATTTATGTATCACATGGTCTGACCTCAATCACCAGTGCAGTGTCAGACAACTGACCACGCATGCAAACTCATGTGGGCATGTGATCCAAAGCATTACAATGACAAGTACACAATGCTCTATGAAGACTTCATGAATGAATGAATAATTCAATGAACTGATACAATGAAAAAGAAATCATCAGTAAAATACTAAACAGTAATACTCTGTTTAACTGTCTTCCAAGCTTGGCATCATTACATGCTGACAATTATTCACATCTTTATGCACTGAAAATGCTAATCATTCACTATTAAGCAGAATAATGAATTCTGACTAAATGAACAACCTCTTACCATCATGATGAACGTGCAGAGGGTCTCTGCCAGGACCACTCGAATGCATTCATTTTTGATCTTCAACCTGGAAGCTACAGTAGGTGCCATATGGCCTTGTATCCTACTACCATCCTCCATTATGCTAACTTCCTGTTTCATTTCGTCTTGCTCTTTTTCTGTAGAAATCTGTTTCTCAGTTTGTCAATTCAGACTCTTCGAATGGTTGTCATTGTCTTTGAATGGATTGTACTGTAGTGTTTGTCAGTTTGTCAGCAATGTCTATTTATATGAAGTCTTCGCCCCTCCCATTCCTCACACATGTACCCTCTGGTAACCTTGGGTATTGGGAGGGGGACAGGAAATAGACAAGAAACACACACTGACAGCAGTATCATGAGTTGTTTAAACTTTCAAATGTTCCATCAGTATCAATTACAGATAAGATTATGCTGCAATATAATATATATATGAACTGATATGTTCTTACAGTAACACAAATAATTCACTTGAACTTTAAATTGTGTATGTGCATGCAAACTGTGATTTTAAACATACAGTTTCTCAATTGTGGTACAAGGTCTCAGCTTTAATTAAAACTAGTTTTAACTGATTCATGTAGCTATTGTTAATAAACTTGAACAATCAAAAAAATTTAATAAATAAATAATTATTAATGAATGGTTTACACTAATAATATGCTCTCATCAGTATTTACAAGAAGAAGTTTTCAAAGTTTATCTCTTACTGATTTTTACTGTGGAATGTAGGAACTAGTGGTAAGAGATAAACAGGTATAGCTGACCAAAGTGCATGCCAATAGTATCATAGTTTTGTAAAAGTTTATATAATACAAGTATTATAATTGTTCATATTTGGAATTTTTATTACATTTTATTATTTCATTTTCTCATTTTTTTACGTTTTTGTTTTTTAAAACTATTTTTAAATAATTTAAAATAATTTTATTTCCGTTTTAGTTTCACTTTTAGTTCAGTTAGTACTTCAATTTAAAATAATTTTAATTAGTTGCAAGGCAAGTGTAGGTTTTAGACTAAGATTTTCAGTTAATATTCATATTTTTCTTTATTTCAGCTTTACTTCGACGATCACAATTGTTTTTAACAGTTTTTGATTGAGTTAACGATAACAACACTGATTATAATAGTTAGTATGCCAGTTGCAATATGGAGACATAAGCTACTTTATTTTTTTACTGTTAAGATTATGGTGAAGTCTGTAATTTCTGCCATTTCGGTACATATTCCCCAAAAGGAAATGCAAAAGTATTGTTTCCAAACACGTTTCTCAAAATTTTTCCCATTAGGATGTGAAATAGGCATATTCTTCTCGACACATTTACATCTATTACTAAAACTGAGGAAGGTATTTGTTAGAAAACACTCTCTGTCTTTCTGTTGATTCAGAATCAGAATCAGAATGAGTTTTTATTGCCAGGTATGTTTACACATACGAGGAATTTGTTTTCGTGACAGAAGCTTCCACAGTGTAACAGAATGACAGTGACAGAACAAAAAACACAGATAATAAAAATAAAAATAGAACAAGTAAATAAGGAATAAAAATATATAAATTGACAATTGTGTGTGCAGGTATATGACAATAGACAGTTGTTGTTGATTTTTTTTTAATTTTTTTATGTACAGGTACTGTATATTATGTGCAAATTTGAGGTGTAGGCTGAGTATGAGTGTTAGATAAATAAGTGTATGAGTGAATAAATAGTGTGTGTTCCACGGTTATTGTCAAGTGTTCATGAGATGGATGGCCTGAGGGAAGAAACTGTTCCTGTGTCTGGTCGTTCTGGTGCTCAGTGCTCTGTAGCGTCGGCCAGATGGCAACAGTTCAAAGAGGGAGTGTGCTGGATGTGAGGGGTCCAGAGTGATTCTGCCAACCCTTTTGCTCACTCTGGATAAGTACAGTTCTTGGAAAGAATTTAGTTCTTGTTTTAAATGCCCCAATAAGGACATGAATGTTAGGACAACAAGGGTAAAGGAGTTCGTGAGGGACTCTGAAGACAGTTCAGCATTCTTCGCAAAAGTCTATTCCTAATATGTCCATGTTTTTCTGTACATGTGGCCATTTTATATAAACACATGTTCTTGGCCAAAGATCCTATGTGTATGTTATTCATATCCTCATTGGTTAAGAGGGTGAAACTCCCCTCGACATGCCTATATAATATCTGTATTTCTATGAATAAATTGAAGTATTGAGAATACATTTGAATGTGTGTTTTCTTACTTCCCTGGCCGTCTATCTACACTTTAAGGAACTGAGAATTCTTCAAGAATTTACAGAGGGACCAAATTGTTATTCTTTATTAACAGTATTATTTAGGCTTTTATGTGACCTGCGTCTGTCTGGTAGCCAAATTTATGTGACCTGCGTCTTTATCGCTGACTGTATTGCAGACAAGGCTTAACTTTGCACTATCACCTTGTTTGCATTGGCTTGTGTATTGTTTGTCTTGTATTGTGTAGTAATAACATACTTTATTATTATTATTACTTTTTTTAATATATATATATATATATTTTTTTTTATTATTATTATTACAGATGTTTAAGTTACATGTGACTGCACTGTTAGGATTGCTCAAATTTCACTATACTTGTATAGTGACAATAAAGAAATCTTGAATCTTGAATCTTGAATCTGTGGTTGTAAGAGCTGTTCTGCATCTGGTGTGCTGAGATAGTGACTCTGCGCTTCACGACCACATGACCCTCTGAGACACAAACACACACACACTACAAGGCCACCAGTTTGATCTAACATGGCCCAATGTATGTTTTATTACAGTAATAATATGTTAATTTTTGGCCAATTATGGACTTGAGAAATTTTATTGTTATGTACCATATATTTAGCGTTTTACTATGGAAGATCATTTCTCTGTATATTTAATATTACATGATTTAGTAAGTATGACTTAAGAACTATAGTACAACCACTGAAAGGAACCTGTATAATAATTTCCTCAGCAAAGATAAGGAGCCGATAAGGCAAGTGATAGCAGGCCGCTGGCCTTTGCCCCTGCATATGTGGGTAAATTATATAAAAAAAGTTGTTTTTTTTTAAAGCTGCATGAATGATTTTTTCAAGAGTGCATAAGAGCTATTGAAATGGAAAAAAAAAGTTTTATTTTTTATTTGTATGTGTCAATGAGGTCACAATACAATCTCCTCAAAAGGGATAGTTCACCAAAAAATGAAAATTCTGTCAAGATGATATTTTGAAGAATGTGGGTAACCAAACAGTCGTTGGTCCCCATTGACTTCCATATGGAAGAAATAAAAAATACTATGGAAGTCAATGGGGACCAGTGTTTGGTTACCGATATTTTTCAAAATATATTTTGTGTTCAGAAAACTGCAGGTTAGGAACATCTTGAGGGTGACAGCTTGATCATGACAAAAAAAAATTGGGGGTGAACTATCCCTTTAAGGATAAAGTGTGTTTATGCTACATTAAATGTCTATTTGTGTCTGTGCCTCTATTGTGTCTGTGATCCTGCTGTGGAGAAAAAGTGACAATGATATCAGCTTCATATCTTTGCTTTGTGTATTTCATTAGGTCATGGAAAGCTGAAGTTTTTACATTGTGTGAAGGGGAAGAAATATTTTCTCACAGCTTCCTCAGCTTCCTGATAATCAGTCCTGGGTTTTGGCCTTGACCTGCAGCATGTCCATAAGCGGTTTATGGAATAAAAAAGCCAGTATAAACCAGTTTTATCAGATTTTTTCCTAGGAATTTCTATGCTGTTTGTTCAGAAGAATGCTGAACACAGCAGAAAAGGAAATCTGAGGTACAACAAATCACCTCAGGCAACTTAACCTAACGTAAATGCCAATATTGTGTCTAAAGTTACCCAAGTTGTTTAAAAGTTACTCGAAGTTACTCAATTTTAACTTCTTGACTTCACTGAACTGGTGTATTAGAAGCTATATCACGACTCATGCCGCCTCCTTAATGGAATAACATCTTATTGGATATTTGGGTCACTAGTTGGTGTTTCCTTACATGCTTTATGAATTCATAAATTTAAAAAACTTTTCTAGGGGGTTTATGCTATTTTGGTCACATAAGTATGGTACACATCTGTCTGTCTGTCCTTTAATGTCATTTTAGCTTCTTCTATTCCTGTACCAGCATTTATCTGCCGGTAAGTGAATCGCAACATCAAGACTCGAGTCTGTGTTTACTGTAAGTGAATGACGGGAACAGTCTTAAACTATGCTTTTATAGTCTTTGCCCTGTGCGCGAGCAGTGCGCGAGCAGTGCGCAGTCGTGCCACGGTCACTCGGATAATGCTTTAACACATTGTCTCTATTAAGTAAACCGAGGATTTCAGCGGAGGCACGCAGGCTTGATAAATGAACTGGGAGTGGAGTGACATTTATTCCCATCCGTTATGGATGGTTTCAACGGCGATCCTGGCCATAATTGCGCGCGCGCAGCGGAAAGCGTTGTGGGACCCGCGCGCTTGTCCCGTGAAGTTAAACGGGAAAACTGCAGTCGTCACTGGAGCTAACACAGGTGAGAATCAAAATGAATGATATTTTAATGCGTGGTGGTGAGCAAATAAACGCTTGGGTATAATTACTGAAGACCCTTTCTACACAGAAGACGAGTGACACATATCCATGATGAAACTAGCCTACAAATATTGTGACGAAACAATGCCCCTAAATAGGGGCATGGTAGTATACTTAAAGTATGATGTAAAGTTCACTTAAAGAAGACATACGTGTATACTTGCAGTATTAAACTAGTAGTTTACTAAGACTATACTTCAAAGTGTACTAAAAATGCTACTACAATTATTTAATTAGAAAACTATCAGTATTCATATAAGTTCATTTTTAGTATAGTTGCAGTACAAGCTAAAAATATTGTTGTAAACTAGTTGTGTACTTAAAGTTTACTACTGTTATACTTAAAGTATACTTTTATATACTAGAAAGTGGGCCAATTTAGTCCCAATGAGTATTGAAATAGTACACTTACAAGTATACTACTAGTACACTGATATTTGTATACTTGCTACATTAAGTATACTTAAAAATATACTTGAACTTTACTTAAGTATACTTAATAAAATAAACTTGAAGTATACTACTTTTTGGTAAGGGGAATTCAGGTGAGGTGGGACGCTTTTTGCAATTGAGGTGACTGGGGAAAATGTAACAAATATAAATGGGTATACATTTATTATAAAACGATTCTGTATAGAATTGCTCAAATAATATACAGTTTTGGAGAAATTCGATAAAAAAATGTTTGGGGTTATATTTAAATCTCTTTTGTTATTGGGATTTTTCTTTCCTGTGGGTACATGGCATATGAAAGTAGGAGCTTAATTTAAGTTTGATATGATGATGATAAAAGATAAGATTTAGTTTAAACAGATTTGGCGTATATTGTATTGCATAAAGTCATACATAATTATGTTATGTCATAATTTCTCACTTTCTTATTCCCTACTACTGCTGTGTCATTCACCTCTTGTTATCTCCTAGGTATTGGGAAGTTCATTGCCCTGGACTTTGCTCGTCGTGGGGCTCGGGTGATCCTGGCATGCCGGAGCGAGGCTCGTGGGACTGCAGCGCTGCAAGAAATCAGAGAAAGTACTGGGAACCAGAACATACATCTGCGTCTGCTTGACACCTCGTCGCTCGACTCTGTCCGAAGGTTTGCAGCACGGATCTTGGAGGAAGAGAAGGAATTACATATCCTGGTCAATAACGCAGGGGCCTCAGGTGGAACGGCCGTCTCTCTCTCTCAATCTCTCATATTTTCATTTATATATCCATACAAACCATGGTTTGTTCACGCCTACAGGCTTACCCAGTAAGATCACTGCAGATGGGTTGGAAATCACTTTTGCAACCAACCACGTTGGCCCATTTCTGCTCACCAGTTTGCTTTTAGGTCAGACAACATTCTCATTGCTAATGCTTTTTTTTTTTTTTTTTGATCTTAAAGAAATAGTTCACCCAAAAATGAGAATTTGCAGAACATGTACTCACCCTCAGGCCATCCAAAATGTTGCTTCATCAGAACAGATTTGGAGAAATTTAGCATCACTTGCTCACCAGTGGATCCTCTGCAGTGAATGAGAGTCCGAACATAAAAGCATGATAAAAAAAAATCACAACGATCCACAAGTAATCCACACAACTCCAGTTCATCGATTAATCTTATCAATTGAAAAGCTGTGAGGTTGTAAGAAACAAATTCATCATTAAGGCATTTACCTTTAAACCATGGCTTCTAGCCAAAATCTGAGTTCTCTATCTGTAATAATTCTTTCTCTAATGAAAAAGTTCACCACCTGTTGTCCTCTAACATCAACATCTACCAAAATAGATTTGGCTTGTAAGCAGTGCTTGATTTTGGCATATTACTCTCCTGATTCAGACGAGATGTTCACTGGAGAAATAAATAGTATGGATAAAAGACTCATATTTTAGCCAGAAGCAATGTTTTAACGTTAAATTCCTTAATGAGGGATTTATTTACTACAAACACACAGCTTTTCACTTCATAAGATGATAATTGATGGACTGGAGTGGTGTGGATTACTTGTGGATTATTGTGATGTTTTGTTCAGCTGTTTGGACTCTCATTCTGACGGCACCCATTGACTGCAGAGGATCCATTGGAGAGCAGGTGATGTAATGCTAAATTTCTCAAAATCTGTTCTGGTGAAGAAACAAACTCATTTACATCTTGGATAGCCTGGATAAACTATTCCTTTGAAATGACACATCTGGATTCTGGAAGTAAGACTTCTTTTTATTGTCACACAGACCTTTTGAAGAAATCAGCTCCAGCTCGCATTGTCAATGTTTCGTCTATGAATCACTGGAGGGGTGAGGTAAACTTTGATCATTTCCACGGTCACAATCTAAATCATGTGATGGATGCTACGTATAACCATACCAAGCTGCACAACGTCATCTGGACAAACGAGTTGGCACGCAGGCTTCAGGGCACAGGTACATGTTCAAACCACAACTCATTATACTGACTGTCTACTGCTGCCATTAAAAATTAGCAGAAAGTCATAATTAGATTTTGATGATTAGATTTGACATCGCCTCATGATTCAGTAATGTGCATAATGCACACTCTTTAAACTCTCTTATAAATTAATTTGTGAGTGGGTCACACAGGAAAGAAAAAGAAGACATATACAGTAGGAAAGAAAAATCTCAAGTGAGACCATCTCAATTATTTCTTCTTAACATGAGGTGAAATGTAATTAAGCTCATGTAGAGCGTTAGAATGTCTCAAGCTGTGCTCAGACACCAATGTACAGTATATGCACAGATTTATAGTCAGAGATTTTAATAATAAACTACATTTCTACTCATGACAAAAAAAATTCTGAATTTCTAAATTTCCATGAAGTATTTTGAGATGTGAAAAGAGCACGTCTGACTCCACTGAATGTTTTGAATTTCTTCACAAACAAAAAGGAATTTTATGACTGGAAATGGTAATGTTTAATGTTGGAAAGATGAGAAAGTGCTTCATTTTTTCCATTCAGATCATGGTTTGTGTGTGTTTCAGGCGTGACAGCAAACTCTCTGCATCCGGGTGTAGTTATGACAGACGTAATGAGAAACTACAACTTCATTATCCGATTCCTCTTCAACTTGGTCGGCTTTTTCTTCTTCAAAGTGAGCCCACTATCAATCCAATCACTGTAAACAACATTCATCATTTCACATCAGCAACTGCTTCCTGCCAACTCCTCTGGCTGCACTAGTGCACTAGTTTCCATAGTAGCTGGATAAAATGTGTTAGTGCTTTTCGTTTTGACTGCCATTCTGGAACAAGGTCACAAACACTCCAAAACCTCTGAAATTCAGCTGTGCAAGGGAGCTAGTCTACATCTTTATGCATCACAGATGTTTATTTGCCTTAAAGGCATAATACCATTGAAGAAAGGAAGATAAACTAGATACAATGAGAGTAACAATAGTGATGCTTCACTGAGAAGCAGAAATAGCCAGATTTCCTGGAAGGAGTGAAATTAAAATCTAATCTGGCAACCAAACTAGGTTTCTTAAGTTTAATTTAAACACTAGAAAGGACCCACAAGAGTATACAATATAGGCCTGTAATAAATATTCAGCAGAATATTTTGGCTTTATGTGTGTTTATGCATTTTTTCCACCACAGACTGCTGAAGAAGGGTCTTTCAGTCCAATATACTGTGCAGTGTCCGAGGAAGCAGAAGGAATAAGTGGAAAATACTTCAACAGTGACTGTTCCCTGGTCTTGCCAGCTCCTCCTTCCAGAGATCCTGCTCTTGGAGTGAAGGAATATGAGTTTTGTGAGAGACTGACTGCTAAATGATTTATTAACCCTCATCCAAACCTGTGTGGATTATTTCTTATGTTTATTTCTTTGCGGAGCTTAAAAAAGACCAAACTTGCCACATAAGCTGTCCATATGACCCGTGTGCTACATTCCAAGTCTTTTGAAGCTTTATGTGAGAAACCGGCTGAAATGTAACTTTTGCCCAATACTAATTGTTCCATATGCTCACTCGTAGTCAGACACGGATGTTACAGATTGTTGTAACGTTAATCTTTTTGATAGAGCAGAAAATCTTGTTCAAAACCTCTTTGAATGAAGAACATATAAAGTCTCGTTCTGTCATTAGTTGTCTCTCAAGAGCTTTTACAGGGAACTGTTCTTTCAGTTTTTGATGTTACCTTCTGCAATGTGCTAGTTAATTCTCTCAAACTTATCTTATAAGACAAAGAATAAAGGCTGTTGAAGATAAACTCTTAAAATGTAATGTGAATTCCTGCTTTTCCACTGTAGACACATCTAAAGGTTTTAACAGATGTTCTCTATTGCATAAGAGTTTAGCAATAAAATACCAGCTAAAGCTTCCATAATTGTAAAAGTATGTTCAAATATAGGCGTGCATCCTGTTGTTTCCAACCAACATGCTGACTTCCACACAATCTGACACTAAATGTAGGACATATTGAAACCACCGTGAACATTTAACTCACACATATACTGTACATATGCTCTATGTGATCTTATGTCATCCTATACAGTATTGTTCAAAAGTCTGGAGTCAGTATGATTTCTTAAAGAAATTATTTTATTCAGCAAGTATGCATTAAGCTGATAGACATATACATCAAAGTATCCACAAACATAACTAGCGACTAAGACTAGAGTAATTACTGCTGAAAATTCAGATTTGCCATTACAGGAAGAAATTACATTTTAAAATATATTCAAATATATATTTTTTATTATTAAAAAAATATATATATTTTAAATTGTATTAATATTTCACAATATTACTGATTTGTGACCCTGGACCACAAAACCAGTCATAAGGGTAAATTGTTTGAAATTGAGATTTATACATCACATGAAAGCTGAATAAAGTGTGTTTATGCATTTTTTCCACCACAGACTGCTGAAGAAGGGTCTTTCAGTCCAATATACTGTGCAGTGTCCGAGGAAGCAGAAGGAATAAGTGGAAAATACTTCAACAGTGACTGTTCCCTGGTCTTGCCAGCTCCTCCTTCCAGAGATCCTGCACTTGGAGTGAAGGAATATGAGTTTTGTGAGAGACTGACTGCTAAATGATTTATTAACCCTCATCCAAACCTGTGTGGATTATTTCTTATGTTTATTTCTTTGCGGAGCTTAAAAAAGACCAAACTTGCCACATAAGCTGTCCATATGACCCGTGTGCTACATTCCAAGTCTTTTGAAGCTTTATGTGAGAAACCGGCTGAAATGTAACTTTTGCCCAATACTAATTGTTCCATATGCTCACTCGTAGTCAGACACGGATGTTACAGATTGTTGTAACGTTAATCTTTTTGATAGAGCAGAAAATCTTGTTCAAAACCTCTTTGAATGAAGAACATATAAAGTCTCGTTCTGTCATTAGTTGTCTCTCAAGAGCTTTTACAGGGAACTGTTCTTTCAGTTTTTGATGTTACCTTCTGCAATGTGCTAGTTAATTCTCTCAAACTTATCTTATAAGACAAAGAATAAAGGCTGTTGAAGATAAACTCTTAAAATGTAATGTGAATTCCTGCTTTTCCACTGTAGACACATCTAAAGGTTTTAACAGATGTTCTCTATTGCATAAGAGTTTAGCAATAAAATACCAGCTAAAGCTTCCATAATTGTAAAAGTATGTTCAAATATAGGCGTGCATCCTGTTGTTTCCAACCAACATGCTGACTTCCACACAATCTGACACTAAATGTAGGACATATTGAAACCACCGTGAACATTTAACTCACACATATACTGTACATATGCTCTATGTGATCTTATGTCATCCTATACAGTATTGTTCAAAAGTCTGGAGTCAGTATGATTTCTTAAAGAAATTATTTTATTCAGCAAGTATGCATTAAGCTGATAGACATATACATCAAAGTATCCACAAACATAACTAGCGACTAAGACTAGAGTAATTACTGCTGAAAATTCAGATTTGCCATTACAGGAAGAAATTACATTTTAAAATATATTCAAATATATATTTTTTATTATTAAAAAAAAATATATATTTTAAATTGTATTAATATTTCACAATATTACTGATTTGTGACCCTGGACCACAAAACCAGTCATAAGGGTAAATTGTTTGAAATTGAGATTTATACATCACATGAAAGCTGAATAAATAAGCTTTCCATTGATGTATGGTTTGTTAGGATAGGACAATATGTGGCCGAGATACAACTATTTGACAATCTGGAATCTGAGGGTGCAAAAAAATAAATATTGAGAAAATTGCCTTTAAAGTTGTACAAATAAAGTTCTTAGCAATGCATATTACTAATCAAAAATTAAGTTTTGATATATTTACGGTAGGAAATTTACCAAATATCTTCATGGAACATGATCTTTACTTAATATCCTAATGATTTTTGGCATAAAGGAAAAATCGATAATTTTGACCCATACAATATTTTTTTGGCTATTGCTACAAATATACCCCAGCGACTTAAGACTGGTTTTGTGCTCCAGGGTCACATTTTACTGCATTTTGGATCAAATAAATGCAGCCTTGGTGAGCATAAGAGTCTTCTGTAGTGCACATTGCAAGGTTTTGGAGTAAAATGTAAAGCATGATTTTACAATAACCATTTGGTATATTAAATTACAATATTTATTAATCTAGTATTACAGGAAACAATTAAATTCAGATTAAATTGGAGTTACAATATATATATATATATATATATATATTTGACAAGAAACTGAATTTGCATGCAATGTCATTTTATTTTAATTTTATTACATTCATAGACAAAACATGTGTGCTTGCAACAAATGTTGAATCATCAGTCTGCAATAGTCAATGAATGCAGATAAAAATGCCGGTCTTATTTCACTGTCAAAACAGAGCACAAATGTTAGTGTGGTCTGTGTACTGTATATATGAAAAACAGAAAGAGATTTTACTGTATGCTCCTTACCGGTCTCTGGCTCTTCTACGATGCTCTGCAGCATCTTACCGAAAGCAGATCCGATCTGGCCCTTTTTAGCAGTCAGCTTCAGCCCTATTTCCACAGGCTGGCCCTTCAGATGGATACAAACCAGTCAGAAACTCAAGTACATTATGAAACACTTTAAAAACCTGCAGGGATTCCTCACCGCTGACTCTCTTCCATCTTCATCTGGAGACATCTCGTCAATCAAAACCCCCTCTGCTCTTGGATCAGCATCCTTCCTTTCCTCCTTCTCCTGTTGAAGATGAAGAAAGAATTCCAATAACTTTGTTCTTGGTTCAATTGGAGGCTAAATAAATAGTCATTAGGATGCCAAATGCCTCCTCACCCTGAGCTCTCTCATCTCTTTAGGGCTGAAGAAGGCGATGTGTCCCTCTGCCTGCTCGGCCAGAAGAGTAACAACATACACCAGCATCAGACATCCTGTAACTGCTCTGCGCATCTTTGGGTGACATAAAAACACAAATCAGCAAGTATTAAACACAACATGGCCATTTACATAGTGTAATGGTCATGCTTCACTGATAAATGAGTTCCAGTTGTGACGCACAGCAGAGAGAATGAGAGACAGGATCTTTTTTCATGATAAAATCTGGACGAATGATAGTTGTACCTTTGTACAGCATGCGGGTGGCCTCTGTGACAGGTGTTTATGTTTCTGTGAGTGGTCAGAGAGCAGTCCGCTTTATAGGAACCCTTTGTATTATCTCTGACTTATGTTTCCATAAACTCCTCCACCTTGACCATGGAGACAAGAGACACTACAAGGACTTGACATAACTTGGTTGTAGTCACTTTAGACTTGGTGTTTGTTATGGTACAGTTATGTTTTTGTATGTAAGCGAACAATATGTGTAACCATTAAGAGTTTTTAGTATTTCAAAATATACATCATTTTAAAACATTAAGAGCATAATTATAGCTTTTATTCCTAAGTGTGTGTGTTTTGTTGTTTCCGAGTACTCTGCATTCCCCAATGATGTGGATATATATAGTCATAAATTCAAATCTCTCTTTTTAAAATAAATTCAACACTGGTATTTATTGCCGTGGGTGGTACATTATGGCACATTTGTCTGATAATTAGTGGATGGATGAGTGTGCAACCAGAACTGTTTCCTGTCATAACTCTTGAAATGTTTCCTGCATCAAATATATTTGGGCAATTTGTCCCTCCTATACACTCACAGTCACATTTATGGGCAAATGCTTGCAGCACAAAGAATAGGGCTTAATCAGATTACGAAGAGGCATATATATAGCTTTTGAGACATATAAAATATGCTTAATCGAACATAAAATTAACATAGCATGAAAACGGTCTTTATTTAAATACACTGTCTATCCCAACACTGAAAATCCGGATTTGGGATTTTGGAACTATCTCAAATGTATAAAATAATTCAAATAGAACAATGACAAAGTTTTGACATAATCTATTGAACTGATATTCAATTATTTTCATTTTAATTTATTTTGTTAATAATTGAGTTTTATTTTATACAATTTTTTGAACTAGACTTGCCTAAAACACCCCAAATCTTGGGACAACCACTCATTTTCTCAAATCCATTACCTGTGGTTTTAAGTACTATACAAATTACAACCTTCATTTAAAAACTGCATCTTGTTATCTTTTACTAATATTTAAATTTGTTTGATGATCTGAAACATTAAAGTGTGACAAACATGCAAAAAAATAAGAAATCAGGAAGGGGGCCAACACTTTTTCACACCACTGTATACCCCATATATATAGACCCATACACCATATACATGTGTATATACACAAATTACATTTAGACCACATTTAATGTTGGTACTTTTTGTCAATTACAATTATTTTTTTAATCAGCCAATTTTTTTGTATTTTATTTCATTGTGACCTTTTTTTGCATCAATACTTCACACCAATTATGATTCTTTAATCCAAAGCAATCTGCCTAAAACCAACCACCTCAAATCCTGGAACAATCACCAACTTATTTTTTATTTTTTTTAAAGATGACCTGTGGTTTAAAATATGAATTATCCTTGATTTACACACTATTCAGTGCTGGTGGTACTTTTTGTCAATTATAAATATGTGCATTATTTATGCCAAATATTTTGTTTTAATTTTATTAATATGTCCTGCTCCACTATGTAATGCATTTTTTTTCCGCAAACATAATGTCCACTGTGCCACGCATCTTGCATTTCCAAGCATTTCCAACAAGTGGCGCACACATTCCCGCAAAATAAGTAACTTATGAGCTCTCGCGATAGCGTGCGGGACTAAATCATGTGGGTTTTTGAGCTTGAGCGCGTGCGGATTCTCTCCTCTTCAAGTGATCCGAAGGAACGGAACGCTCCCTCCTCGTGCGTAGCGCACGAGATCAGTAAACATGGTAAAAAAAAATCCATTGTTTCTTTATACAATCTTAAGAAATGAACAGATCGGTGTTTGCAGTATGGTTTGAATGTCACGATTGCATTGTATTTAAATCGGACTTTTATAGTGTGCATGTTTGTAGAGTTTTATTGTTATTGCCATTGTTTTGATTAGTCTGTTAAGCACAAGTATGATACGATCGCACAATACAAGCTGCATTTAATCAATCACTGCAGTCTGTTTGAGAGGATAACATGTGAAGCCGGATACACAAGGCCTCAATGTGATATTAAAGGCCACAGCAGCCATTCAATTCAATGTAACGGACTGCTGAAGTTTCACTCACCTCTCGTTAGTGTTTAGGATCGATGTCCTGGTACAGATCGCAGTGCTATGAGATGTTGATCAGTTTTAAAAGTGGCACCCGTTGAGTGTTTGATCCGCTGCAGGAACACGTGGTGTGTCTGTGCTAACCCATGCTAATGTGAATCTCTCCAGCTTCAAGCTCTAATGCAATAAAATCTAAACAGGGGTAGTTTATTAACGACTGTTGTTATCTTCTGCTTGCGCAATGTTGTATAATCATATTAAATACGTAAAATTGAGCAGTTGCTTTGTAACGTTACCTGGTGGCGCCAACGCCGCGTGGGCTACATGCACGTGTTGGTGTTGACCTGCGACCCCCATCAGATCAGATTCACAGTATTCTTTTGTAATGTGTTATTTGTTTGGTTATTAATGTAGGAGTGACGCATTTGGGACTTTGTCCCTTTTTGGTTTAAGTAGTGATTTATGGTATTATTAGGGCAGATCAGTAACCTGGCCTTCTCTCTCTCAGGTGCTTTTGCACGTGTTGTTCGAGCATGCAGCTGGATATGCGTTATTCGCTGTTAAAGAAGTGGAGGACATTGGGATGCTTCTACCTCAGGTTTGTATATTGAAGAAGTGCAAAGGAAAGTAAATGTGCATGCCAACAACGAGGTGTAGATCTGGACAGGTAACCAGATGGTGGTTTGTTCAAATCCCATCCATAAATGTACCATTTAAAAATGATCTGCATGACCTATGTGCTATGCCTAGATTGCACGAAGTATTGGATCTGTAAGAATACTTCAAATTGACATTAAAAAAATTAAATGCATGTTACTGTCAACGATTCATCAGTGTGCAATGCATTACATTCCAATGAAAGTCACAATATAGAAGACCTAACACTTACGTTCATTGTGTAACAATAAATACATTTTAATTCATATCTTAAATGTCTTCTAAATGACTAATTCTTTTGTCTTTCATAGGTGGAGCAAAGTGTCCTAAACCTTGGCAAATTCAGTAGCGTGATCAAACTGAGTGCATTCTTCCCCTTTAAATCCGCCCAGGGTGCACTGGAAAACATCAATGCCGTCTCAGAAGGTAAGCGAGACGAAGGTCTTGTTTGAAACGGTTTCCTGGATGCAATGATGTACCTATAATCTGTCAATCCACTGAGTCAATGTGATGACAGCATACCTACAAACTGATCATCTGAGGCTTGACATGCTGACTTACAAACTTTAACCTACAATTACTGACACCTCGTTTCTAATCTGATCCTGACAGGAGTTGTCCATGCGGATCTCAAGTTGTTCTTGGAGACCAACCTTCCGTCCGGAGGTAAAAAGAAGGCAATGTTGGGGGTTTCGGATGCTAAACTTGGAGCGGCGCTTCAAGAAGAGCTCAATCTGTCCATTCAGACTGGAGGCGTTGTAGCTGAAATCATAAGAGGTGAGCAGAGACCATGATTATTTAAATCAGGGGTTTTCAATATTTTAGATGCCACGGACCCCAAATATAATCCTCATATAAAGGCAGTTATATATTTTCATGTATGAAAGACCCAGTTTTTACTGTAGAACATTTGTATTGTAAATGTGTAAACTATTATTTATTTAATAACATTTTTCTTTTATTCTCAATATTTCCCTGTACACCCTTTTGGAAAAGTTTTGAAATCCCCTGATTTAAGTGATTCATGTAAAAATTCATATTTCTAAATGTTATCAAAAGCCTGCTGTAATGATGTACCTATAACACCTGATTTCTGATGCTTTATACTGAAAATCTGAACAGACAGGCCAAAAAAGTGTGGTTTTATGAGTCCAGAAGTGACTGTTTCTCACGCATCTGCTTGTGATTGACAGGTGTGCGTCTGCACTTCCATTCACTGGTCAAGGGACTCACCGCTCTGGCTGCGTCCAAAGCTCAGCTGGGTTTGGGTCACAGCTACTCCAGAGCCAAAGTCAAGTTCAATGTCAACAGGGCAGACAACATGATCATCCAGTCCATCGCCCTCCTCGATCAGCTGGACAAAGACATCAACACGTTCTCCATGCGTGTGCGGTAAGATGTTCTTCCACTGGGGTTTGTAGTTGGATCTAATACAGCATCCTCCTAATGCTTACCACAGACAGCGCTCACTAGTGCACTGGCTGTACAGGAAGTGGAGGGACAGTAAAGTCCTTTCTCAGGAGTGTTTGGTCCATCAGACTGGAGTGAACACAACCTGAGGGGGGAGACAGACCTTGAGTGGGAAGCCAAAGTTGTTTTGTGCCTAGTAAGCATAACTTGTGGATGGAAATAATAGCTTGAAGGTTTAACTTTTGGAAATTAAGACAGCCATACTAAGTACTATACTAATAACTTGTACTTACATTTTTTTTTTCTTGGGTCTAAACAGTAAAATAACTAATAAACTGAATGATTTTTTTTTTAAGTAGTAGTATTATGTAGTTACATTAAGGTGTAATCAAACAATTTGTGCAGTCTTTCTAAAAAATATGCAGCCTTATCCGAACTCTCTCTCTCTTTATCTGTGCAGTGAATGGTACGGCTACCACTTCCCAGAACTGATAAAGATAGTGAACGATAACAGTATGTACTGTAAGCTGGCCAAGTTGATCGGGAACAGGAAGGAACTGACTGAGGAGATGCTGCAAGCTATAGAGGAGATCACAATGGACAGTGGCAAAGCTCAGGCTATCCTCGATGCGTCCCGCAGCTCTATGGGTAAGTCAAGATCACTGATGTACTCAGCTTAGTGTGAGTTTGTCTGGGATGTTATGATGTTTTTATAATCTGTCAATCCACTGAATCCATGTGATGACAGCATATCTCACTGAACTGAACAACTGTACCTCACTGAGTCGCTTTAACTCAACCAGTATACGTGCTCCTGTGATTTATGGGAGAAGATTATACATCAGTTTTTATTTTTTATTTTTTTAAAGGTATGGATATCTCTCCTATTGACTTGATCAACATTGAGAGTTTCTCCTGCCGTGTAGTGTCTCTCACAGCGTACAGACAGGGACTGCAAGAGTATTTGCGATCTAAAATGGGCCAGGTGGCACCAAATCTTGCGGCTCTCATTGGTGAAGTGGTACGTGTTCGTCATCCCCCTTTTTTTTTTTTTTTTGTATGTATAGTATTTTTTTTGTGTGTGTGATGTCATTTGTGTAGGTTTTTTTATTTTTTACTTTTTTTCTTAAGTTATAAAATGCAGCATATAATAGCATTGTACTAAACTTAATTTGCTATTGTAATTTGGAGAATTTTTTAGCTGACAGTTATTTATTATTTACATATTTTATTACATTACATAAAAAATTGGAAGGGTACTTAATTGCTTTTTTCAATGTTGGCGTTAAAATGTGACAATGTGAGAGTAAAAAGTCCTGGTTTTTTTATTTTTTACTTTTTTTCTTAAGTTATAAAATGCAGCAAGTATATAATAGCATTGTACTAAACTTAATTTGCTATTGTAATTTGGAGAATTTTTTAGCTGACAGTTATTTATTATTTACATATTTTATTACATTACATAAAAAATTGGAAGGGTACTTAATTGCTTTTTTCAATGTTGGCGTTAAAATGTGACAATGTGAGAGTAAAAAGTCCTGGAAATTTATTTGAGATTTACCTGCTTTACCTTAATTATATTATTTCTTTGACATTTAAGTGATTCTTTGTAATATGTTGTGTACATTTTTACTCTTTAAAAAGAAAAAAGTTCAAATTTCTTTGAGACTTGAGCGTAAATATTTTTTAAGTACATTTTTTTTATTTTTAATTCTATGAGCTTGTAATTGTTTGTTTGTGAGTGCAACCTTTCTAAATTGTCTTAAATTCTGTAGAAGTGTCAAGTTTGTGTGTTTAGATGTTTTCTCACATCTATTTCCTATTAATAGGTTGGTGCTCGTCTAATCTCTCACGCCGGCAGTCTGACAAACCTAGCCAAATATCCGGCCTCCACCGTGCAGATTCTGGGGGCAGAGAAGGCCCTGTTCAGGTACTGGGGCTCCCCTTCCCTGCTGGGGTTTCACACAGCTGCGGTGATGGCAGGGCCGGGGCGTAGCAGGAGCGGGTGATTTGGTGCGTCAATGAACACCTTAAAGTGATCCCGCTCAATCTCACGTACCCTCCAGTCTGAGCAGCTGATGAGGGGTTTGAGAGGTAGATACATTTGAAAATGTTGTTGAGACCTGGCATTTTTTTTTTGTTAGACCTTTAGTTTCAAGTATAGCAGTACATTTTGGTAGTGATGCACCAGAAATATTTAGCCAAATAAAGGAATTGTTGGTTTCGGCTAAACATTTTAGAGTCCTAGTGGCGTAGATGGATTTTGTTCTGTGAATTAGGGCGCTGAAGACCAAAGGAAACACGCCAAAGTACGGTCTCATTTTCCATTCAACGTTCATCGGGCGTGCAGCTGCCAAGAACAAGGGTCGTATCTCTCGTTACCTGGCCAACAAGTGTACCATTGCATCACGCATTGACTGCTTTTCTGGTGAGCGTCCCATCTCCTCTCATTTAGTTAGTTTCTGCTACTTCGTTCTTGCTATGATGCTTTTATTTTTCGTCAACAGTAACCCACCTCAGTGGTTGTTGAGATGTTAATCCTGAGCAGAACTCTGGGTCGTACACTTCGGTGTTCTTTAGTTGTTCTTGTTTGTCCTTGTCTTGACATCTTTATTCTGTTCGCACAGAGGTTCCCACTAGTGTGTTCGGTGACAAGCTGCGTGACCAGGTTGAAGAACGTCTGGCATTCTATGAGACCGGAGACGCGCCACGTAAGAACCTGGACGTCATGAAAGAAGCTGTTGCACAGGTGAGAACCGATCATTAGCCAGCATGCTAGCTAAAATCAAACCTTTTCTGATTATGAAATGTTATGGTCAGAAATCTACATAGCTTGTCAAGTGAACATGTCTAAGATATGTTCCAAGCACAATTTATTCATTGTGGCTCGTTGTCAAATTCGGTTAAACTGGCTGCTTTTTTTTGTGATTAATTTGACCTTTTAGATGAGTAAATCAACTCCATTGGATTGAAAAAATTAAATAAAAATTCTCCCCCCTCCTATGCTGATTTTTGTCTGCTTTAGTAGGGAAGTAGGCATATTTGGATGCCTTGGACTTTTTCTCGTTTATTTTATTATTTAAAATTTTTTGTAATGCGTTCTGGGATTGACTTATGTTGCCTACGGTTCAATAGGGCTTTTAATACTTGCTAATAATGCCTTTTAAAGTGCTGTTTATCAAGGTTTCTCACTAGGAATCATTGTTACTGTAGTTTCAGGAAGTGCTGTGAGTGATGAATCTTCTCTCCTGACTCCTACATGGAGGCAAAAACTGATTTAATGAGTCTGACACAGCATTATAAAGTTCATATTTTACTAGGCTCGTACAAATGCAAATACATTAACATTTTTCTGTCTCGCAGGCTAGTGAGGTAGCTGCCGAAATCCAGCGCAAGCTCGAAAAGAAGGAAAAGAAGAAAAAGAAGCGTGAGAAGAGGAAACTAGAAGCGCTCTCCACAGCTGAAGGAGATGACGAGGAAAAAGCCAACGGCGAGGCTGAGGTACATGTGAGTAACACTTCATCTGTGGTGTTTAGCACAGGGGTTTCAACTGGGGGAGGTCTGTAAAAACGATGTAAAACTTGTTTTAAATATTGAATTTCTTAAAATAATTTAAACTATTTTTACTTAAAGCAAATTATTTGACATTTTATTTAATTAAAAATTATCAAATTGATTAAAGGAACGCTCCACTACTTTAGAAAATAGGCTCATTTTCCAACTCCCCTAGAGTTAAACAGTTGTTTTACCGTTTTCGAATCCATTCAGCCGATCCTCCTACAGCACTTTTAGCTGTAGCTTAGCATAGATCATTGATTCTGATTAGACCGTTAGCATCTCGCTCAAAAATGACCAAAGAGTTTCTATATTTTTCCTATTTAAAACTTGACTCTTCTGTAGTTACATCGTGTACTAAGACCGACGAAAAATGAAAAGTTTCAAGGAACTTTGCTGCCGTACCATGAGTGCAGCAGGCGCAATGATTTTACGCAGTGCCTGAAAATAGGCTTATTGGAAGTTACCTAGCTGGGGACTATTTTCAGGCGCAGCGTAATATCATTGCAAACTGCTGCACCCATGGTACGGCAGCAAAGTTCCTTGATTATTACGCCGGAGTGAGAGTATAGTTCCTAACCATATCAGCCTAGAAAATCACAACTTTTCATTTTCCGTTGGTACACTTAGTACACGATGTAACTACAGAAGAGTCAAGTTTTAAATAGGAAAGATATAGAACATCTTTGGTCATTTGAGCGAGATGCTAACGGTCTAATCAGATTCAATGATCTATGCTAAGCTACAGCTAAAAGGGCTACCGCCAGACCCGGAGATCGGCTGAATGGATTCGAAAACGGAAAAACTCGACTGTTTAACTCTAGGGGAGTTGGAAAATGAGCCTATTTTCAAAAATAGTGGAGTGTTCCTTTAAATAACTTAAGATGAACTAAAATTGGTTGTTTCAAATAAAATACTGATTTAAATAAAGCATAGTACTATGGGGATTGGGGGGGGGGAAACTAGACAAACTAAAGTTTAAATTTTTTTACAGTATACATTGGCTCTTTATACATAAATATATAGCTGCCTTTTTAATTTTTTAAAAATGGTTATTTTTGTGGCATCTGGAAGATTTAAACCCCCGTTTTAGCACAAGTAGCATGACTATACTAGAGGCGGAACCTTCTTGTGGAGCCGTCTTATATGTTTCATGCTAAAGCAAAGCTCCTCCGACCATTGACAAGCCCGACTCTGTGGGTTTGATCACTGAAGTGAGCAGGACATGATCATCTCGGAGTATGTTAACGTTTGTTTGATATTTCATACATGATGTTGATGGTTTCCTCTGTTCTTCAGGAAAACGGGGACGTCATAAAGAAGAAAAATAAAAAGCAGGTGGCTGAGGAGGACAAAGAGGTCTTGACGAACTGTGTTGATGAGGCCACGCCTTCCAAGAAGAAAAAGAAGAGGAAGATTGACGCCGTGGAGGCGGAGCCTGAGGTGACTGAGGTTGAGTTCTGAGTATTTGATTCAGTTTGATAACATCAAGAAAGCTAGTCGTGCGTCGTGCTGAGTTTAATGGAGGGCAAGTTAGACTATATAAAAACAGGTCGAGATGTTATGTGTGGTTTAATTTCACACCTGTCACAATGTCGAAGCTTAGAAACTATCGTTACCTCAACAATGAAGGAAGTTGGAGATAGGTGGACGCTGCTACGGACCGCTTGCGCTCCATTAAAGGGGTCATATGATGCAATTTCAAGTTTTCCTTTCTCTTTGGAGTGTTACAAGCTGATTGTGCATAGATAAGATC